AAAAAAAAAAAAAAAAAAAAAAAAAAAAAAAAAAAAAAAAAAAAAAGTGCAGCTAACGCATCGTGTACAGAGAGCACCCAAAGTAACTTACACTTGTACTCGGGCTAAACAAAATTGTGATGTAATAATTAACGACAAAGTGACTGCACGCTTGAACACGTCAATGAGGCCCGGGAGTGGAGTCTCTCAGGGAAAAAGCAAGGAATCGCGGAATAAAAAACGACTACTCGCTGAGATAAAAAAAAAGGTAGCTTATCGAGAAGGCGACAATATACGTATGTGTGCTGCTTCGCGTATGTTTAGCAACGATGTTTCTCTCTCTCTCTCTCTTTTCCGATAGAAGACAAAGAATATATTAAATGAATGTTGTATCTTGTGATGTATCGAAGCGCAAAAGGCCAGACAACGATCGGCGATTAAACGATGTGTTCGGAATAAAATAAGGTATAAAGTACGTGGTGCTCTTATCCGAGACGAACCCCTACGCGGATGGCGAAAACACAAGTGCAGATATGAATGTGTCAGTTGCATGTATAATATACACAATTATCAGCTGAAACGCGGGGAATTGCGTAAAATCGACAATGATACTGATAACTCTTCTTTTGACGAGACGCTCTGCAGACTGTGCTTTGCTCTTCTCTTGCGTGTTTTATCTCAAGACGATTAAATTGGGACGTATTGCAGAAGTACGCGGAGAGACGAAGATATGCGGCTTGCTTCACTTTTTCTTTTTTTGTTCGAACTTGTGGCTACTTATTAAAAAAAAAAAAAAATTAAAAAAAAATAAAAATCGGTATGCAAGGTATGATGGTTGAGTGTTTCAAGTCAATCTTAGATGCAATAATATTTTTGGTATACTTGATGATAGTGACAAATCGTGAGGCCGAATGTAAAGTATAAACTTCGAGGCAACTAGTGTCTTTTGGCGCTTCTAAACATGGATGCAAAGTAAATAATACGCATACGTTGGCGTAAGACGATTGAACATTTTTTACAAGTTAAAGTCTTGATTAAATGCGTGCAATGGAAGTGCCGACGCAAACAATTTTTTGTAATCATCGGATTTTTTATACTGTTGGTGTGTTGTGTTGCACTTCTTTGGTACAAAGCGTAGACGGAAAAACAAAATTTGATTTCATGTAATTGAGAATCAGTCGAGTGGAACAAACGATCGATCAACATTTGCAGTATATATACTAGCAGCAGATATAATATAGCAAGTAGATTTACTTACGAACTCGTTTTTTCGTGTTTTTTAGCGGTCATACAACTCATCATCTCGTTTTTTCTAGTGACAGTAGTAACCCTCTACTATACGCTTCATGTGCCAAGTGCCTAAAAATTACACGCGTATCTTTGTTTACAGTGATTTTAATGGCATCGTTGATTATTTTTTATTCGAGACTCACGAGAGTCTGAAATTCCCACGATTACTGTCATTATTATAACTAATCAAGATAAACATGTTACCCGTTATCAATACAATGTGCGTAATACAGCTGTTATCGTTCCAATTTATTTGTTTTACATTTACTTTTTAAATATAGTTTACTACAAACTGCAGTTTATAAACATCACAAAACAATGTTTTTTTTCTCTATCTAACGCTAATTGCACTTTTTACCGATATAGTTTGATAAAATATTTTTAAAAAACTATCACCTTGACCAATTTAAAAAAAAAAAAAAATACTCTTTAGCAAATGCGTGTACAACAATTGACTATACGTAGTGATCACGCAGAGGAGGAAGCGCAAAAAGTTTTCTTGGCTTGCCTAAAATAATTTTACTATCAAATCAAAGTCGAGCTTATTTACGTTTTCTGTGATGTGTACCCATCTTAATTGAAATTTTATGTAACTGCTCGAAAGGTCAAAGTTCTTTTAAGGAAAAAAATCAGAGTTACTAGTGAAAACAATATTACATGCAAAATTATTTTCGCGGACGGTATTAATATTTAATAAGTTTCCTCGTACATATTTTTACCACGCAACTTTATGTTACGTATACTTTATAAAAATGTTTCGTCCGAAAATCAATTCGAAGAAGCCATAATTTAGTTTTTAAATGATAAATATGAATCAAAGTACTGAAATGGTAATTAAAACTCAAATTTATAAATTTATTTGTTTATCGTCAGGAGCAAATACGTCATTTTAGTGTACGATTTACGTAAATAAAATGATCAAGGAATAGTAAATGATGCATCGATTGTTCAAAAAAAATTTACGGAAAATTTCATGGTATGACTGACGATGTCAATTTATGAGTCATCAATGCACCAGACAATGTGTGTTGCATCAAATAGCTATTTCAAATCTCAATTTGCAATTTTCAAAGCACACGCGTGCATCACGAAAATGTAGGTCTTTCATAACGTTCGCGTAATAAAGGGGCAACGTGTTCAGCCAAACAAAATTATCAATAACGCCAGAGAAAACAAAGTACGTGTCTCGAATAACGGATGTAAAAAGTGACTGATAATCCATTGCGATCTTTATCATTGTTTATACCTTACGATTAATATTTTCGAGATAATAAACAACGTGGCGATATATTTAAAGATGGTGTTTTTATCACGGTCACCATCTTTCTTTCCAAGCATACCTTTTTTGGGATAAATGCAAGAGCAATAATTTATGAAAAAGACTGAGCTTTTGGACGTAAGTCACCCTACAAAAAAATATATCA